CACACACACACACACACACACACACACACACACACACACACACACACACACACACACACTGAGGATCAGAATAATGTCATGGAAGAAACTCAGACAATGACAAAACATGAGGCTCAGACCTCATCGCCAGCATCCAAAAGGCTGCCAACACTTCACAGCTGGCCGATCTGCAGATGATTTCCTTAGATGGGGCCCCACTTAAGGGTCCTCCTGTCGCCATTTTAAGTTCATTGTCCGGTGCCCAAAGGTTTGGGTGTCAAAAACAAGGAAACAGCTGGCTGCGGAAGCACCACAAGTGTAACAATACACAAAAGTAACCTTGACGGCGGTCGCATCCTGTCCACACAGGAAGAACCTGCAGACCTTGTTATGGTTTCTGTCCTTTATTCGTGTGTCAACATGGAAATGAAGGTGATATGAATGACAAAAAAGAAGCAGCAGCAGCTTGGACAGATGCAAAAAAACAAAAAAAAAGAGTAAGGGGAGGCTCGTGGGAAGAATGAAATGTAGGACATAGGATGAAGGAAGTAAAGAAATATTGGGGAAAAAAGAGAATATTATAAAATATAAGTCCAACAACACTCACAGCAGAGGATACAGACAAGTGTGGCATCAAATGATGGAAGCGTTTTGGKTTTTTTTCATGCATAATTAAAAAGAGAGAAGTTTTTAACGCAGTAATTGGGCCTTACAAGAACCACTTACATTTTACAGCAGCGGCTCAGCACCAAATACATTCAGAGAAGAGTTATGTCGCAGAATTATCAGRGTAATCTCAGCCTTTATTCACTGCAGCATGTTTTTGTGATTCCAACCTCTCCTACAAAGTGTTGCAAACTTGAAAAGCAGTGATAATGTCTCCATCTTCACACACATTTAGATATTAATGTGCATCAGTTTTACTTTGRTGAAGTCACGACAGGAAGAGAAGAATCCAGTAAAAATGCTAAAGAAGGATTTTATACCTCGGAGTCTAAAGGCAAGGGGAAGAGACGCTGACGTGTCTTACCAGTAGGAAGGTCCTGATGTCGGGAATTTTGTTCAGCTCTATTAGAAGCCGCAGAGCCTTTTCGTGGTTACTGCAGTACTCTCCGTACACCGAGAAACTCTCCTTCTGCAAAACAAAAAATAAAAATAAAAAAATAATCACACACCGGGAACTTCACGTCATGTTTTACATGCTGGTTCACAACAAAGAATTAACGGAGGCAGACGATTGTGGACTTTTACACAACAAAAAGGAAAAACTGGACAAAAAAGGCTCTTGTGAACAAAACAAACAAGTTTTAGCTGCAATATAAGATTGTTAGGAGGTGAGAGTTTCTTTAAATGGCACTATAAATTGAAAAAATGTTTTATTATGGCTCAAGCACAGGTTGTTTTTAACCAACACTTTAGGGTAGAAAATGATTTTTTTTTTTTTTACTTTTTCTTAATAATAGATTTGTGTCTCAGCACCAGTGGCTTTTGGATGCGTGTGTTTTCTTGTGTCATCTTGAACTTTAATATCAAAATATGCTTTGGCTCTGAAGATTACAAAGAAAATACAAATACACACATAACGCAAAGAGCCAACGCTTCCTCATTTACTCCCAGATGATAGCATCACGCCATGTGCAAAAACAAAGCAGCAACTAATGCAGGAGCTTTGCTTAGATTTTGTTACAATATGAAATGCAACACTCCAGCCTGTGAAAAAAACAATGCAGACTGAAATGCATTATTGACACGGGACACTAAAACTGCAGARCGCTGAAGCTGAACGTATAACCATGTAGCTTGGAGCCGATTACCCATTTTTAACAATGGGTAAGTATTGGGATGTGAAACCAGATGCACAGAGGAGCCTAATGTCAACTTCTTGAAACTGAAACTGTTGTTTGAAACAGCCTCGTAAGTGAAATCCAAAACTACAGGTTCTTGTTGTCCCTTAGCCTCTTCCTGCATGAAAGCATCGACTTTTAAAAAAGGACAAAAATTCAATCATCGAATCCGACGATTGGTGTTAGAATGCAGGAGTTAAAAGGTAAAACCTGAAATGGCTTAGAGGTTGACGTCCACACATGTAAACCTAACAATTACAGCGTGCCTTAGCCAAACAAAGATCCCCTCGACATAAAAGAAACACCGTTTGCACACGTGTAACAGAAGTGAGAAGCACAAAGTAACCGGTGGGCAGTGTTTACCCCACAAACAGGAGGACAAACCCAATGAAAGCCATGTTTGGGAAGGGGATCCAGTCCAAAACCACCACTGTGAGCAGCAGCTGGGCTAGCATATGGTGTGAAGCCCCAGGTAACATGGAGCTGCCTTAACAACGCACAGCTAGACAAACCATTTTGGCCTTTGTGTTAATTTGTAACAATGTTAGCGCCACAACAGACTAAAATGGTTTTTCTCTGGCTGAACAGAATATTTGATTTGATTAAAATTTAAAAAGCAACCCTGTGGGACGACAGCAGGGGTCTTGTAATCCTGAGGATGTGGATCCAAGTGGAGTAGTCGGTGCAAAACTATCGCCAAATCTTTTGTGCGGGTTCACCAATTGTGGCGACCCCTGCATAAGAGGGAAGCTAAAAAAAAAACAACATGTTCCAAAATAGAGCACTGTGGCAAATGTTCAATATCTATAAAAATTCACAAGTGCATGAATTACAGTTTTGTGCTTTCAGGTTCAAAACTTCAAAAGAGCTAAAACAATAAATGACTGGTTCTCCTAAAGTCCAAACATTCTCTCCAACAAGATGCCACTCATATGAAGATAATGATTTGTGTTCGAATACTTTGTTTTTTGTGGTAAAAGCCAAAGATCTACTGTGATGTGCTGTGTGGCATTTGCATTCTACACAAYGTTTGAGCCAACCTAATCAAAGTTATCCTGAAACTGAAGCTAACTGTTGTGGAGAGGCAGATATCATCTAAAAATAGCTGCTGTGTATTTTGGTTAAAATACTTCTGGGTAGTTTCAGCTATTAAATCTGTAATACCCTTTTTAGCTCTTGAAATGAACCTCTTTCTTGACAAAAATAAGCCTGTTTTTTCACCCATGTTTACATATAAAAAGGTCACTCCGAGGTATTTCCTCTCCTCCAGTAACAACAACTACATAGTCAATTCAGGCCCCTTTTAAAGTAGCTTATAAGCTAAAAAAGCAACTTCTGAAGGGTTGTGCCCAAACTCCAGAACTACGCTGCTGAAAGACGTCATTTGTGCCCAGAATAGCCCAAAGGCTTCGGTTGTTCCTTTGATAAACGTGTAAGTCTTTGTTTAAATTCTTTGTTATTGGATGGGTTTTTTTTCCACAGACTTGGATGAGAGGGTAGAATCACACGAGGAATCACATCATGTCAAAACGTACTAAATAAGAGAGTCCAGAAAATACATAATGACATAACGTTTATACATTCCCTGAAATGGGAAATACCGAAGCAATCCCTGTTTTTTATCCAACATGAGTGTTAAGAGCTTTTAATTAAGGCTTCCAGTGTATTTAGCGAAAAGAAAAATATATTTCTTCACTTTTCTTTTAATGCAAACTTTAAAAAAAATCATTTTTCCCTTTAAATCTGCCACTTGTCAAACCATCTTGGCAACGTCCGACTTTGAAAAGCACTGAATCTGTCTGTGATCTTGCGGAACAATGCGGGGGGTTAATCAAATCCCAGTCATGGTGTTGACCTCTAGTGGAGGTCAAGGGCCGTGGCTGGAGGGTGCCAGACGGTACCAGCCGATTGGCGGAGAGGTGTCAGCGGTGAGGGAGACAAAGGTCATGGGTTGGTGAGGGAAGTGTAATAGATACACAGGAACAAAAGGTGCTGTGTGGAAAGCTCAATACCTTTGCAGAAAAAAATCTACGTAAAACTAGTGTTGAAGTTCAAAATAAGCAAAAATGTAAAAAGAAAGATAGTTCAGAAAATTTGAAATAAATATAAAAGGAGTATCAGATTGTTGTCCCAGCTGTCATTTGTGAAGAATAAGGTTTAAAATCTTGAGTTCAAGTGAGCTTTCCTAATTTTTAATCTCTTCATCTTTGAGTCAAAGCAAACATTTGTCTCAGATGTAATGAAATTCCTTAATTTCACATTTTAAAAAAATAGAGATCTGAATGGTACAAAACAATTTATTGCATATTTTCTTTGTTATTTATATTATAATATTTTAATTTGATGTTACCTGGTATGTTGCAGAAGATGACCTAACTGTTACAAAACTGAAAACACACAAAGATCACAAATTATCTTATTTTTAAACTACTTCATTAAGTAATAAATGTTTTTTTTTCTATTTATTCTGCCCTTTCATATTTTAAGTCTGAGCACAGAGCGATGGAAAAACCATGTTGAGTTCCATTTAATTGATTCCACGCCCTGACACTTGGCCCTGCACCGTGACCACCTGCATCAGTGTGAAGGTACATTTTAATGAGCCAATTCTGCAAAAGTCATTAAATGTCATTCATTCCACAAACAGGTTGTCAGTGATTGTTTCACAATTAGTAACTTTCTATCTTCATATTGTTTAAATATTTTGATGTTATGAGGTACAGATGATGGGAAAGTCTAAATTTGTTCATTTTCAGCTGAGGATTGTTGTTCTGGAATTGTTCCACCATTTTTAGATGCAGTTTCTTTGCAGACTGGTAAGCCTCTGTGCCCATCAGCTTCKMWAAAATAWTYTTTTTATACACAGTCCTCTTACTAACCTGTTGCCAGTWAACCTATTTAGTTTCAAAATGCTTGTTCTGCTATTTCCTTTTCATACAAGTTATTTCTACGTCCTTTTGTTGGCCCTGTGCTGCTGCCATCAAGTTCAAAATTACTTAAAGGGGCTATATCATGTAAAATCAACTTTTTTTTAAGTTTTATATCGTTATAATGTTATCCTCCCATCAAAAACATGCCCAGAGTCTTGCTTTGACTCATTCCTGCATGTTTGAGAAATCCTGTGGTGTGCTAAAGCAGCCAGGCAGGGGAGCAAAAACCACTGGTTGGGACTAGAACCACCTTTTGGGACCAGCTCCTCCTGGACTGTGTCTCCAAGCCGAGCTTCCTCATCACATATATTTATTTTATTTACCATTGTTTAACAGATCACACACCCACCTGGCCTGTGCTGAAATGGGCGGGACAGAAGCAGAAGGAGCTTCTTAAAGAGACAGAGACCTATTTCCAGGCGTTTAGAAACAGATACGATGAGAAGTCAMGTTTATTTTTATTTAAACATATAAACAGCATTTTAATAACAACTGAAGATGACCGTTACTTTATTATGGTATAGAATTTAAATATATGCCTGAGAAATACATAATATTGCCCCTTTAATCTTTTTTTTAATACTATGGTACAATTTCTTAGTTTGTAGTTTGGTGGTCAGTGGCAGAGTTTCGTAATCTTGAGGCTGCAAGTTCGAGTCTAGGTTGAATCAAAAAGGGCATTCGGTGCTGTAGCAGCTGAAAGAAAAACAACTATGCTCCAAAGTGATTAAAATATGGGTTCTACATTCTGTCTTTATTCACAATTATCACCTCAGTCCAACTTCTTTAGGATTGGGGTTTGTGAAACTCCAGCCTGCTTATAGCGGTGTTCCTGCCACACCATCCCGGAGGCTGGTGGAGCATACTGATGGTGGAATACCAAGTCGACGTACTTTGTGCCTTTAGTGAAAGTGAACTGAAGATAGATTATCACAGAGKGACAAACGGGGAGAGAAAGAAGAAGCTCGAGATTGAGTGCTACCAGCAGAAACATTGTCCCCTCGCTGAGTGACACACCATCTCTTCCTCCCCGAACACAGACCCTTCTTTGTTTGTTCCCGGGGGCCATGCGAGTTCAAACAGAGGGGAGCTGGGAGGGTGGGGTGGGGCTGCGTGTGGTGGAGTAACAGAACGGAGAGGAATCTCTTCTGTACAGTGATGGAGAGGCAAGAAAAGGAGCTGGTAGCATAAACTGACACAGAAACACTGAGGATTTTAAAAAAAGCATTCTGCTACAGGATGCAGGCCTGTAAGAGACGGGAGGAAAGGGAAAAGAAGGTCTCTTGGGTTGTAAGAGGGTGGGCGGGGGGGCATCCAGGAGTTGGGAGGAGTGTTTTGTGTGAGAATTACAGGGATATTTTCAATGCGGGCTTTGCACAGTTTTCCCTGCATCTGTGGTTACGAGCAGCCCATAACAAGAGCTTTAATGTGTGGAAGTGGAATTCACGCACACCGCAGCGGACAAATACGCGCTCAGGTGTCGTTTCATGCACTTCTCTGCGTGTGTGCGCACTTACAAACTGGAGGAACACGTGGCCCAGCGAATGGTTGGGATGAGGTTCAGGCTGCAGACTGGTCTCCACGACGGAGAACACCTCTTTGTGCAGCTCCAGGATGTCCTCGATGTTTGAAAACAGGATCTATATGAAAAAAGRATGGTGTTAAAGCACTGGGCTTTAAAGTGCCTGTGACATGCCTATCCATCGAATACAAAAAGTCAAAGAAAACACATTTTAATATAAGAAACTTTGCATAAAACGTGATTTTACCCATTTGGTCACAAAAATGGCATATTTTCTTTTGAACTTGGCTCAGGCAAAGTGAAACAGGAAGTGACATCAAAGGGGAACTCTTTACAAAAGAGAATTYTCTAGTCTTTGTTTATTGAAATTACATTATTTGAACTCTGACTCATCATCTCTCTTTGATAGTGACTCAAAACAATATAAAGAAACATCAGATTCTTCTCTATGGTCTGTGTCCTTAGTCATTTTATCAACGCTCTATTCCATGCAGACATTCCCCTTTGACATCACTTCCTGTTACTTCAAATGCAAATACAGTATCTCTAACTGTTCAACTCAGCAGCGGAGAATTGTTTTTGCAATATGTTATTAATGTTATCTTTCCAATAATGCCTTTATATTTATTTTAAAAAWTTCATGTCACAGGCACTTTAAGAGAATGAAGACATGAAGTGGTGGCGTGGGAAGAAGGGTTTCAATACATTCTTATGCATCTTTACCTTGACATGTTCAGGTGAGAGACATTGTTGGTCATCTGGAATTTGTCTGATTCTCTGCAAAAATGCCTGAGGAGGGGGAAAAAACAATGCCCATGAGTTTACAGAAATATGCATAAGTTCTGTGCTGTACATGAGGGGCCAAAAACAATAAAACAAATCAACACTAAAAACACTCAAACATTAAAAACAAGTAAAAAAAACAGCTAAAAAAGACAAGATCTCAAACTATGTTAAAAGCCAGTGAGTTAAAAATAAGTTTTGAGATTATTTTTAAAAACAGCCAATGAGGAGGCCTGCCTGGCGTGCAGGGGTAGCTCATTCCAGAGCTTTGGAGCAGCAACTGAAAATGCTCGATCCCCTCTGAGGGTTCGCTTTGTYYTAGGTACTTTAAGGTGCAACTGATTGGCTGACCGGAGATACCGTGCAGGGGCATAGGGATGGAGAAGCTYGGGAGAGGTAAGATGGGGCAACARGCAGCCAGTGGAKGGAAGCCAGAATWGGTGTAATGTGCTCCYTTTTACRTGTTCCASTTAGCAAACGAGMAGCAGAATTCTGAACCAACTGGAGCTGTGCAACAGAAGACTGGCTAACTCCAACATAAAGTGCATTACAGTAATCCAGCCGAGAGGTGATGAAGGCATGGATTACTGTTTCAAAGTGCTGGTGCGAGAGAAAAGGCTTCACATGTGCAAGCTGTCTGAAGTGGAAAAAGGTTTACTTCACTACAGGACTAACTTGGCTGTCCATCTTAAAATTACTGTCCATCTTAAAACCCAAATTAGTGACAGTAGACTTTGCATAGGCTGACAAGGGACCCAAATCAACAAGGGGGGACACAATGGAGCTGCTAGGGGAAAACACGATCACTTCCCTTTTCTTCTCATTAAAACTCAAAAAATTCAGGGCCAACCAATCTTTAACATCGTTAAGACAGGACAGCAAGGTTTGAAGAGAACAAGCATCACTTTTCTGCAAAGGGACATATCCGGCTGTCATCAGCATAACAATGAAAAGCGACACCATGTTTTCTGAGGATCGACCCAAGAGGAAGCATATACAAGGAGAAAAGCAGAGGACCCAGTACCGAACCCTGTGGAACCCCATACAGATCCCCATAGAGATTACACTCATACAAGTTATAAATATAAAAATGCATCACATTATTTACAGCACATAGATTAAAAGTAGGTAAGCTTATCAGAAACCAGCAATCATGAAGAATTTCTGAAGATGAACAATGAAAGAAAGGTGCAGTTTTCATCTTTTTTGGTCATTACAGTCGTTTGGAGAAGAAAACTGAAACAAGAAACGACTAAAAGTAGCGTGGGCTTTTGGTGCGAATAAGGAAATGAAATTACTGGACTGTAAATGACATTTTTAGTTGCATTTGTTAAGAAGTGAAGCAGTGAAGTTTTGCTGATGCATCAAATACATGATGCATTTGCTCAGTTTTGAGGAAACGGGCAGAAACTTGAAAGTAAATACCACCTGCAAGCTGATATAATGTAAAGATTCTATGGTGCAAGAAAGCAGCTCCATAGCTGTTTTACTGATTCTATGGTGCAAGAAAGCAGCTCCATAGCTGTTTTGTTGCCCTTTAGGTGCCACCAATATTAACAAAAAACATGTTTTTTGACCTTATCTGCTCCAGAGGAAGCTAACACACCTGAGGATTCAGCTGTAAGACRGCAGCTAAAATAAGTACCTCGTCGTTGCAGCGTCTATAAACTCCACTTCACCAAAGATGGCAGCAATAAACTCACTCATTCATGCCTGTCTATCTGAATCTTGGTTTTGGGTGGACAAAAAGAAGAATGGTGAAGAGAGAGGAAGTGAATCTGCAAACAGTTTCCTTAACTTTACCTTCCCCTATTTTTTTTTGTCTCACACTCTGTGTGACAGCTKTAACCTCTGTCAGTATGTCTGCCTTGTTACAGGATGCCATTACAGTCTGGAAAAAGACCAGGGGAATGAGATATGCAGCTCGTACTCGTCCCATGAACACTCTTACTCYTGAAATCTTCTTCATCTGGCAGGCTTATGTTCTGTCTGCACGCATTCAGTGCCTGGAGGCTGAAAATCAATAGTCTGCCATGTGTATAAAGGCTGTCGCAAAGCCAAACAACACTAGGGTCAATGATGAATGTRTAATCATTTCAAGAGCTAAACACTGATATTTCTTTTCATATGTTTATACCCTTTCTATTGTATTAAGAAGTAAATACAATCAGTACAAATTGCTTGTGTTTAACAGCATTTGTCAAATGCATTAATGCCGATGCAATCAATCAATAGAAAAAAAATGTCTGTTTAGAGGAAACAAACTCAAAAAAATGAGGAAGGAAAAGAAAAATACCTGAGAAAATGACCAAACATTAGAAAGGGAGGCATTTTTTTAACTTACTTTCTTGTCAAAAAAAAAAAAAAAACAATATGTGGTGTTAAAGCAGACATATCTCGCTTTTAAATCCTTCCTTTTCACATTTAAATCAGTCAGTTGGGGTCTTTATATAGTGGAACTACAATGCTTTGGTCTGAATTCCTTCWTAGWCTAACTTTMCCAGCCCCTCTTTCACCCCTATTCKGCCRTGTCTCTCACAGCAGCTCGTTTTATTGCTGTTCCTTTAAGACRCTTCAAGCCCCGCCCCCCTCCTGCTTCCCGACCGGTCCACTCCAGTTTGAGAGAGGAGGGTTACATTTCTGGCTTGGAGAAATTTTTTATTTACAACTCAACTGAAAGATGTCAACAACAGAAGACTTGTTCATCCAGCCTTACATGTTGGAGCCAGAGTCTGACCCAGAACCAGAGTCTGACCCAGAACCAGAGTCTGACCCAGAACCAGAGTCTGACCCAGAACCAGAGGAGAATGAAGATGAGAAAATTGTAGTTGGTAAGTCCAGAACGTTTTTGGCAGTTCTGTTGCAGATAATTGGACGCAATAGCTAGGGCTGGGCGGTATGACCTCAAATTCATATCACGGTATAAACTGAACCCCTTCATGGTAATGGTATATATCGCGGTTGAGAATTATCATGAAAAGTTAAGATAATGTAATTTTTAGAGCATTTCTTTTGCAGAAAACTGTAATCTTAATTAAACCCAACGTTTTTGCTTTAATATCTGCCTGCCAAACAATGAGCTTCTTCCTACTGAACTTATCAGCTGCTGCTCTGTTGCGTGCTCATCTTCATCATCATCAGAGCGGAAGCCGACTTTACATTAGCAAGATGGATTTACGACTGAATGAATGTCCACGTCTTTTTTTAAAATAATCTCTGTGGGTAATAATACATAAAAAAACAACTTTTTTTCTCTGACAATTGGGTGTGAAAAACTACAGTTGTTAAAGCTTCGCTCTGCACGACGTGCAGCGAGAGGAGGGGAAAGGAGAGGGAGGAAATGATCCCGTGACACAACGTAACTTTTCCTACAGCGGGAGTGGGATATTTTGAGGATTTATCCTCTCTATACGTGTTTTAAAACACTAGAATTTCTTCATTATATTTCGAACTCCTGCTCAGTTGTCTCTGCRCTCGGAGCCCTGTTCACACAGGTAATGTAATGACGATAGGACGGTAGAGTATAAATTTCTATCGTAGGCCAACTTCATACCGTTTCTACCATCTACCGCATATACCGCGCAGCCCTAGCAATAGCTCAGAAAACGTCATAGAATATAAAGAAAACTGAGCGGGCTTAAAAATATAACCCAAGCAGAATATAAAGATATCTTTGCAGCACCAGGAGAGGCTAAATTCAACTTTTCTGCCTCTTAAGAGTCTCCAAGTACACAACAAAATGTATTTAATGGCTAAAAAAGTGGATTTTGCATATTTCCCCTTTAATAAAATTCTGTGTTTAATCATCCAGAAAGTGTCTCTTATAAAAACCAGAGATGAAATAAATCAAAAAGACTGCACCATTAATTATTACTAATGTTTTGCAAGAAAAAAACACTCATCTTCATCTGTACATCGTTTAGGCGTTGCAATGAAACAAAGAGATCAATATTATCCACTTTACCTGCCAGACGATTTATTGTTACAACTAATTGTTGCCATTTAAATCAGTTTAAGGTTTATTTAAACAACCTTTTGGGCACTTTATGTGCAACATGGGCCTGCTAACTAACAGTAAAGTCACAGGTCTCTAATGAAAGACCAACACTTGTAATCACACATTTGCTCTAAAGATAGAACCTCACTAACCAGACTGTAATTTCCTCTAAGACTCAGCAGCTTTAAGAGGATTTGTTTTGATTCGTTTCCCTTTTTTACCATCTTTTACRTAGGTTATATTGGTATAAAGGTCTTTAGGAGGGAGCTGTGACTGCTCTAATTAAGACTAGTATTACAGGGGAAGCAGAAGTTGCCGTGTCCTTCGGTGGTTTTGTGAGGGAGCCGATTGTGCTTGTGGTGTGCGCTAATTAAATCTCCCATATGGCGACTTGTGTCCACATTGGTGGAGTCAGTCATGTGAGGGATTGCTCTGTGGCAGAGGAGACGAGAAGAGGCAGGATACAAGCTTTTCCTTACTTTAGTAATGAGAGGACAACGTTGGAGTGGKGAGGAGGGTGTTGGAGAAACACAGGGGTGTGAAGATTAATCGACTCTGATCGATCCATGAAGGTGCACAATGTGCGTGCTTTGGTACAGCAGCTGTGTGAAAAATGTCATTTTGGAACTAAACCAAAATGCATCAGTTTAAGATCTTCATGTATTGATCAAATATGTTTATTATTTTAAAGGCAGATGTGTTTCTACATACAGACATCCGTTATATGAATTTGATTTGATGATTTTTTTAGGGGTTCTCAAACATTTTGGGTCTGAGGACCCCTTACAAAAGTGAAAAAATTCCAGGGACCCCCTCATAAACCCCATGCTGTTTTAAAAGATAATTTACTCTCATTTCAACCAATTGATGTGAGGTGAATATATATTTTTATTTAATTTATTATGTTTGCTGTATTAGTTCATTGTTGCCTATGCATTTTTAAAAATAAAAACAAATGAACAATTTAGTGAAATTTTTTGAGGACCCCCAAGATGCCTCTTGCAGTTTG